TTGCCTGCACAAACCTCTTGTTGTGTGCCAGGCGCTGTCCCACATGCAGCCTGGGGTTTGGGAACTGCCAGGCCTCCTGGTGTGGGACTGTTCCCCGTAATTTCAGTAAGGAGGTTAGCCTGGGAACTCTTGGGAATCAAGAGTACTTGGGTGAGCCTTGGTGCTGGTTTAGGAGTCATCCTGTCGGTGAGCACGTGGCCATGTTGCGTGGTTGCAGACCTTTGTGAGCGGCCGCAGTAACCACCGGGCACGTGTCCGGCTTCTGCTCAGTCTGGTGGTGCCGCTTAGCCTGGCTGCTGGATCTGCTTCTTTTCAGAAATACGAGCAAGGATTCATCACAGACCCCGTGGTGCTGAGCCCCAACGACCGAGTGCGAGACGTGTTTGAAGCAAAAGCTCGTCACGGATTCTGTGGGATTCCCATCACGGACAACGGGAAGATGGGGGGCAAGCTGGTTGGGATCATTTCATCTCGAGATATTGATTTCCTGAAAGAGTCGGAGCATGACCTGCCTCTCGGCGAGGTGAGAAGGGCTTGTGAGCAGCCGATGGATGCGAGCGTTGCCTTAGGAAGCAGTGTGGCTTGTGATAAGGAGAAGGGTGAGTGCGTGGCTGTGAGGATGCTGCACCAGCTGGAGGGAGCAGCTCCACGTTAGCTCTGCAGGTCTATCTTTAACTGTATTTCTAGGGGAGAGCGTCTCATGCATTTACGCTCTCTCTGTGACTTGCAGTGCAGATAGAAGAGAGCGACAGCGCAGATAGCGTTCGCATGACTCCTCCTGTGGGGTTATCTTTCAGTGTTGTGGAAGCCATCCTCTCCACAGCTGGTGCTCTCCCCTGGTTCAGTCATTAATTCCTGGTGTTCCTGGCTGCTGCTGTGGTCCCATGTAGCGTGCTGGTGCTGGCCAGGGCTGTAGCAGCTGCACTGGGCCCAGCAAGCCCTCCAAGTGCCAGTCTTCTTTTTCTGGACTGCCCTTCCCTGTGTGCCTCATCTAGGCTACTTGCTCTTTAAAATAACCCCCTGAACTTGGAGACTGGCAGTTTAGCCTTTATAATGCTACACTGTCAAACTCCCCTCGTACAGAAAAACGTTCTCTGCAATGCCGACGTTGATTCCTGTTAGTTCTGGCATTCCTTGCTGTGTAACTGTAGATCTGCGGCGCTGTCAGGTTACACCACCGGTGCCTCTCGGCCAGGCTCTGCTCTTGACTCACGACTATTTTTAGCTCTTGCTGACCGAACCTGGTATCACATGCTCATCCCTGTTTGGTTTGAAATCGCCTATAAATACCTGTAACAAGAATCTTAAACCGGGAGTAGGTTATAAAAGTGCACATGGCCCTTTGAAGCGATGCTGGCCCATTCAGAGGAACCAGATAAGAATCTCCTCTCATCCTTTACGTGGATCGTTCAGCGCTGCAAAGTTGGAAGCTTCCCGCTGTTAGCGTTTGGTGCTTGCCTCTGTCACCAGGCAAGGCTAAGGAGATGGATGGTCTCCTAGATCTCTCCCCAGCTGCCATCCAGCAGTCGTCTTGCTGAGCCGTTTGTTGCCATCCAGTTGAACACACGGGTCTCCTGTAGCTCAGAAAGCTCGTGGATCCCGCAGGCTTAGGGAGTGTGTTGGGCTGTGTCTGTGATTCCTCAGGCTTTTCCTGAGATGTGGTTCTGTCACAGACAGGATTTTGGGTGGATGCAGGTGGGGTGAACCTCTTTCCTGATTCGAAGTGTCTGTTCTTATGGTATAAATAACTAAAACATTCCCTCTTTTCTTTGTTGTGTGCAACTAATCTACCTTCCTTGAGGGTTAGAGAGTGTTCCCTTTTAGCTTTGCCTGGCCTTCTCGAGTAACCTTTTATGAAAACATCTCATGTGAAGTTTGTGATCGCAGAACGCTGCGGGTGGGAAGGGGCCTCAAGGTCTCTTGACAAGCCTTCTGCTTGAGGCGCGTTCAGCTGGAGCAGGTTGCGTGGGGCCGTGTCTGAGTCTCCAAGGATGGAGAGGTTTCACTGCCTCTCTGGGCTGCTCTTCCAGTCTTTGACCACTGTCGTGGTAAAAGCTTTTTTCTGTACACCATATCAGATGTTCCCGTGTTCCAGCTTGTGTCCATAGCCCCTTGCCTTTCCGCTGTGTTTTGGTGCTTGTTTGTCAAGAGTGAGCGTGGGTGAGCGTGTTTGTTTGGATTGAAGCGGCTCCTTTGCCCCGTTGACCTTGCCAGCGGCAGCGGTGGGTTATTCTGAGCAGAGCCCTTCCAGAACCTGTGTGCTGGGGATCGCTGCCTGAAAACGAGCTTGGGGGTAGCGTTTCTGCCAGAACAGCATGGGACTCTGGAGGTGTCTCCAGCCCTTATTTGCCTGCGCTCTATTAAAAGGGAAGGCTGTTTGGGTGACATCCCAAACAAGGGTCATCTGAGAGTCATCCCTTGTTCCTAGGTGCTCTCCCTCGGCTTGCTGAGGCCCTCTGCCATCTCCTGTTTTCACTACACCGATGGACTTGGGGGCCGATGGCCGCTGCTTGCATGGGGACAGCACATTGGAGGCTGTTCCTGTGTGTTTCTGGAGGCGTGTTGCTGTGCTGTGGGCTCCTTTGTCTGTAGAGCACTCCCACACGGCTGCTGCAGAGCATTTCACGTGGGCAGAGGGGTTCGGTATTTTCAGATCAGTGCGAGGGAGTTCTTGTGACTTTTTATCTTCTCTCTCCCACTAGATTATGACAAAGCGGGAGGATCTTGTTGTGGCCCCGGCTGGTGTAATGTTGAAAGAAGCGAATGAAATTCTGCAAAGGAGTAAAAAAGGTACTTGCGAACGTCTGCGACGTGAGGAAGAGCCATGGAAGCGCTGGGCTGGGAGCAGTAGTGGGTGAATGTGGGCACGCGTCCGTGTGTGGGTGGAACATGGAAGGGCTGCGTTCCAGCACGAGGAGAGGACAGTGAGGAGAGAGTGCCTGCAGCCTTCCGCCAGGGTACAGAGTTCACAAGCGTTCATCTCAAATCTGTTTGAAGTTGAGGGATTCTTGGCAGCCCAGGAGCTGAAGAGCGCCTGGCAGTCCAGCCACACGTCTTCAGTGTTCTGTCCTGGCCTTCACATTTTGGCACTCAGTTCAGCTCTGTTAGGGTTTGGTAGTTTGACTTTTAACACGGTGTCATGGGTCTGATCATTAAAAAAGATGGACTTTTTCTATGGTCAGTGTGAGGATACCGAGTCCTTCTCCAGTCCTGCAAACTCCTTGCTCTGTTTCCCGAGCCAGGGCTGCTGGCGTCCGTGGCCAAGCAGGATTTGGTAACGCACCTCTTTGAGTCTCCACCTCGTACCAGTTGCTGCCTGCCTGATGCTCCTGGTCTGCCGCGCTGCTCCGGGCTAATGTCTGTCTCCTGCAGAAATCTGCAGCGATGTTCTTTCTGTTTGTTTCAAGGCAAGCTGCCAATTGTTAATGAAGATGACGAGCTGGTGGCTATAATTGCCCGCACCGACCTCAAGAAGAACCGGGACTACCCTCTGGCTTCTAAGGATTCCAAGAAGCAGTTGCTCTGTGGTGCCGCTATCGGGACCCACGAAGATGACAAGTACCGGCTGGACCTCCTGGTGCAGGCTGGCGTGGATGTGGTAGTGCTGGTGAGCCACCCACAGGCATCACATTGGCCTGGGGGGTTGGGGTGGGCTGAGGATCCGATTTGAATGAATCTCTCTGACAGTGGGGCAGCAGCATGGCACTTACTGTCTTCGTTACAGGCCCTTCTGTGTCAGAATGTGGCAGTCTGTTGACCTCTCAGACTCATTCAGGTTGGAGTCCTCAAATAAGAGGGATTCCTCTTGCCTGGGAACTTACTCACCTTGAGCGAGTATGTAGGGTGCATCGAAGACCTGAAGGCTGAGAAGAGAAACGCTGTCAGTTAATACAGGGTCTTCTACAAATGCTTCTTGCAGTCTGCCGCCGTCCTCTCCGACGTTCCTAACTAGTTTTGAATATTTGGCTTCTTACAGTTTCCCTTCAGCTGTTCAGTGTTTGTCACCGTGTTATTCTCTTAACCGCCTCATGTTCAGGAGTGGCCAGCCCAGAGCTGCTCTGCTGGCCTGTAAGCTTTCGGGCACAGCAGTCACTGCCTGTATTTGCACATTGTTTTCTCATCGATTGTTAGCTTGCAAGTTCACCGTGCTCTGAGGGCATGGCCGAGCAGCGTTGCAGCTGGAAATGTTTAACAGACACCGCGAGCTGGCCGGGTCACGGAGATTGGCAGGGCCTGAGCGCTCGGTGGTCGACATCTGGTGTTTCAGCTGCTCTGCTGCGCAGCAGGGAGAGATGCATCCCCCTGCCAGCCCTTCTGGGTTTCACAAGGAACATTCACCATTTCACCTGTAGTTTGAGACAGGGCTGACGGTGTCCTGGTGGTAGAGCCAGGCGGTTATTACCTGCAGCCAGATGTGCTGCTTGTTGCCTACTGTAGAAGCCACAGGATTTAAACATGAAGGATGTTGCTGAAGTCTTTATGATAAACTGCCTTGCGCAGGGAAGGTATGTTATTGTCTTGGCAGCAGCTTCTCCTCTGGTTCTGTGCTCAATTTGGGGAGCCATTTTGCCTACTTAGCCAGCTTAGCAGGAGACCCCAGTAGGCAGACTGAAGATCTGAGGCTCTTCTGGAGCTGTATTTGTAATCTTTTGCAGAAATTCTGGTTGAGATTGGTTTTCTTTCTGTTGCAGGATTCCTCTCAGGGGAACTCCATCTTCCAGATCAATATGATAAAATATATTAAAGAGAAATATCCCAACCTACAAGTTATTGGAGGAAACGGTAGGCATGTGTTGAAGGCTGTTCTTGTCTTTAAAGTATGTTTGCTGCTTAGACATAGAGGGAGCTGCAGGGACGTGGATGAAATGATCCTCTTGGTAAATGTCTGTGAACTTGAAATGGTTTCCTCTGGCTTGTGGAACAGAGCGAGACCACTCTGCAGACACAGGGCAGTACCCTACTGCTGCCACAGCTGCAAATATTTTGAAAACTTTGTTTTGCAGCACAGTGCGCTGCAGTCCTCTAGCCTGTTACACGTTAGCTTCTTTTACACACCAGTTTAAAATTTTGGATAATAATAATGAATATTGCTTAATGTGGAAATCTAATGGAAATTTTCCCTGCCTCTTGACAGCAGAGTTCAGCAGTCCTTGTCTTTACCTGGCTGGTGTGTTACTGGTGCTGCTGTTAGCCTGTGCTCTGCCCTCCCTACATGGTGTGGCCCAAAGAGTGCTTGGCACCACGCGGTGACCTCTGCTACCTCAGCCTTTGGGTGTAAGTGTGTTGCAGAGTAGCCTAAAGGGCCAGTGTCATCTCACCCACTGGGGACAGCTGGGGCAGAAACTCACTGCTGCTTTTGCAGATAGGCCTGGCAGCAGCGGACAGCCAGGCCTGGCTCTGACACAGGCTGGTGCCCTGGGTAGGGGATGTTCGCAGCCACGGGGGAAGCACCAGAGCAGAGCAGTGTCACTTGCAAATCTGCTTGTCTCTCTTCAAACCAGTTTCTGCTCCCCACAGTTGTGACCGCTGCTCAGGCCAAGAACCTCATTGACGCAGGGGTCGATGCCCTGAGAGTCGGGATGGGCAGTGGCTCCATCTGCATCACACAGGAAGGTGAGAGAGATCAGCTATCTCCTAAATAGGCTGAAGACATCTGTTTAATAGAGATTCCCTGCTGAAAAGCAGCATAGTCAGGATGGACTTCTCCCGTTGTAAGGGCAGTGTCCAACAGCAAGCCGTCTATCACCCGCTTCGTCCAGGACGTTCTCATCACCTGGGTCAAACCTTTGGGGTGGCAGCAGCAGCAAAGGCATTTCCCAGTACTGACCGAGACTGAGTAGAGCAGGTGTGGCACGTGCGGCTTTGCCCAAGAGGAGCCGCTGGCTTGGTGTGGGATGGGGCTGGCGGGCAGCTCTGCAGGGAGAGGGGCTCACTGGATCCCCAGTGCTGATGGGTGAAGTGCACTGGGCCGTCTGTGCTCCCCTTCCCTCTGGCAGCAGTGTGCGTGATGCTTGAATATTGGTCTGCTGGGCTCGGTGCCTTTCTGCAATTTCCAGGCCGCCATGGGATTTCTGGCCGTTGTCTCTGCGGTTAGCTGGAGCTTGTGTGGGGCAGAGGCCGTGTCGCCCTTGGTTAAAAGGTGGAGAGGGGCGTCCCCAGGGCCTGGAGAAAGGCTGCCTTGAGGACAGTCCTCGTGTTTTGAACCTGGCAGGTGAGATGCAGAGGCGGTGCAAGGCGCTGCAGCCCACGAGCACAGCCCCTCTCTGCTTTGCTCCTTGGTCCTTGCCACGGGAGGCAGCAAGAGGGTAGCTGATGGCTGAAGGTGCTGCATTAGCTCCGCTGATTCCAGCGCGGAGCCTTCGAGCAGCCCTGGCCCTAGGCTGCGTTCCTGCTTTGCCTGCCACGGGAGCACTGGCTGCGGGGGGTTTCCCAGTCAGGGCAGTCTGTCTCGGGCTTTGTAGGGAGGTGCGGGTGTCCTTGGGCTGACGCTTCCATAGCCAGAGCAGAACCAGGATGCACGTGTCCTACTCTGGCTCCAAGGCAGAGGACCCGCTGAGGCACGCTCCGTTCTGCAGCGTGGTGAACGTCTCCAGAGGGTGCCTCTCCCAGCTGCCACGGGAGGTGGGGTTGGGTGCCGGTTTTGGGGAAGAAACAGAGCAGAGGTAGAATGTGGTGCTTCACAGGAGACGTGGTTGCAAAACTCTTAACCGCAGCTCCCCAGGTTTTTGGCCCTCTTAGGGCAAGAACTCTGGCTTTTTGGATTAGGGGGGTCACCTCTCTGGATGGCTGCTGGGGTAGGGCGAGCATGCGCTCTGCACAGCCGGGCCTGGCTGGCTTGGATCTGGCCTCTGGCTTGGCTCGGGCTAGGAAGGGTTTGCAAGGTCAGCTCTGTCCCACACCGTATGCTCTGCCTAGTAGCAGGTCACTGCTGGGGTCCTTTGTTCTGCTGCTGTTCTTCTGTCTCTAAAATGTGTGTGTTTGTTTTTGTTTAGCTGCTCCAAAGATCCCTCCAGACCTAAAGTCCCACAGCCCCAAATGCCCTTCTACTGTCACGGGCACCTATAGTAAGTCACTTGCCCTGTTCCCAACCCTAATTATGTGTCTTGAAGCAGGACCCTGATTTGGCTGCACATGGCCCTACTGCTTGTTTGAGAATAATTTAGCTGTAGATGCACTTGGGGTTTTGTGGCTTTGGATACTGGTTTTGAATCTGAAATGGAAGCTGAGAAGCCTTTCTGAATTCCTAAAGCAGGGTCTGAATTGTCAAAGCTGAGGGCACTCAGGCTTGTCCACCCTCCACTCCAAAATCCAGTTCAGGAGCCTGACCGAGCTTTCTGGCTGCATCTTCTGGATCTCTAGCTGGGCGTGCCCCCACTGATCCAGTGCTGGGAAGTGATCCCTGAGCAGTCCTTGATATAAACCTGGCTCCAGTTGTGGGGAAGTTGTGCACTGGCTAAGCTTCACTTGGAGCTAGCTCCCCTGGGGCTGCAGAGGGACTTAACTGCGTATGGCCACCTTGGCAGCTGCGTACCAGAACCACATCTTTCCCCACTGACGCCTGATCCTCGTGTGGAGAGACAGGGCTCTTTTGCCCAGCACAGGGTGCAGCTTTGTCTGCTCTGTACCTCTCTGATGCTGCCGCATCAAGCAGCCACCCGAGGCAAACCTTGGGTTTTGCCCTTTCTCCTAGTTTTGACGCACCTCA